CGTAACACATATACTTTGCATGTGTTCATCGGGAAGATTATGAAACAAAATGGACGGTGTGTACCACGTGACTTTCGTAAACCAAGGAGCGGAATGTCGCAACTCTTTATATATATGGCTCTGGCCCCGACGGCAGTGCAGCGCCCTCGACAGGAAGGGCAAAAATTGTCCTTCGGTGCGTAGCGCCATTCGAGAGCCGTAGGCCCGAGGTGGGCGAGGGTTTTCGGGAGAGGGTGTCCACTTTTGAATTAGACAATTTTTATAACTCGCTCATACAGGGCATCTTGACATAAGGATGGTGTTTTTTGTCGCCGTGGTTATTGACCCGACTAGAGAACCCAAATTCTCAGCGTTAAAGGTCCGACACACTATTGCGCATGAGCAATGAGATGAAAGATCATTGATATTATTTAAGTTAAAAACGTCGCGAGCGCAAGGGTTGAAATAAAACTGAAACATGAAGTTACCTTTATTAAAAACTAACTGAATCATAAATGTTGTCACGTAATTAATTAGCGGAAGCCTTCTACAGTAATATCAAGTTAGCTAGGCACTTACAGTGTACTAGACGAAGTGCTAGGCATTACGGAGCCCAGGGACATGGTTAGAAAAAATATTAAACTATTTCGAGGGAACGAAATAATGTTTCGTTCGAACGAAATNAATGTTATTTCGTTCGAACGAAACATTATTTCGTTCCCTCGAAATAATTTCGAGGGAACGAAATCATTTCGTTCCCTCGAAATAATATTTCGTTCCCTCGAAATATTATTTCGTTCCCTCGAAATATTATTTCGTTCCCTCGAAATCATCTCGAGGCCACGAAATCATTTCGTTCCCTCGAAATATTATTTCGTTCCCTCGAAATATTATTTTCGTTCGTAAAAAAATATTGCTGCTTGGACAAGTACAGTACAAAACGTATCAAGTGCTTCATTCACATCGACATGTGACAAAATAGTATTCCACGGGATGTGCTTGAAATATAACTGGTGAACTGGCGTCTTATGACGTGATCTGTAATATGGGAAAATAATGGTTTGTCTACATTTATATTGTACGAATTCATAAAGTATACGGTTCATTTTAGGATACTAAAGGATTTGATTCACTCCTAGTATGTGTTTATTTACTGTATTGTCTTATTTGGTGTATTATAGAATTTAATAGCTAAAGCAAAGATGAGCTAAGTGAGAGCTAAGCTAATCACAAGCGAAATGAAGCTACAGTATTAGATACCGTACTCTTCAACACTAATTCTAGGCCTGTTCCTTGTTGTTGTGACTCCATCATTTGACCCTAGTGGCACACCAATCACAAATTTAGTGTAGGATTACATTTGTTGCATGGCTGCCGTATTAGAATCTTTTTTAATTATTTATTTGCGGTAATGATAATTAAAACATAGATCCGTCGCTGACATTGGAATCATTCATGGCTAATTCTTGTAGCATGCTTGTTTTTAGAATCGAGTGCGCAAGTAGCTGGTGTGCAATTTGTGACTGATTAACCTTAATCATGAAAGTTCTGTATATTTCGCTTTGTGTATTATTATTATTATTAAAATTATGTACCTTGATAATAATGATGACGACAACGACAATAATAATAATAATAATAATAATAATAATAATAATAATAATAATAATAATAATAATAATAATAATAATAATAATAATAATAAAGTATTGACTTATATAGCACATATTGTAGAGACCTCTATGCGCTTAGCATTATAACCCCCGGATCAAGCACATTATTATTATCTTCGGAGATTCCATAATTTTGCAGCTGTAATCAGCACATTTTTTGTTTGCATCTACCAGGTACCCACTTGTACTGTTGGGTGGAGAGAGACAAGCGAAATACACTGCGAGGGATTTAACCTCCGACATCAAGGTTGAGAGAAGCAGAACCTCAACCGCTGCGCCAAAATGCTCCTACCTTGGCATTGTGGTCCTGTGTAACCGTCCCAGCAATCACTACTAGAAGTACATCCATATTTCCGATCACAGTAGGTATTATCGCAATGGCACTTTTGTTGACAACTGGAGCCATACCATCCAGCGCCACATGCTGTAGGAGAATCCGTTAGTGTTCATTGTAAAATGTAATATTCACATACTGTTTAATATCGGTAATACCTAACAATACACAAGCAATGGTAATTTCTGTCTTCCACCATAATCTCTAACTTTTATTAGCACAAAATATACAAGTGACGTAGCATAACTTCTTTTTATCCGATAAAGTGACAGATCCTAATTGTAGTAACAGTTTCAATGCCTTATAGAGGTTTCTTTTGAATTGAAAAAACCGTCTATGTTAGGATAGTCTATAATATATTGCATTCATTTGAAATGTCAAATTATTATTAATATTTCGGCTGTAAATTAAAATAATATATTTCGTTAAATAATAACAATGTATATTTAGCTGTTTTACGTTGTGAACATCCAAGACCTTCATAACCATCAACGCAGCTGCATCCAACTGGATCTGGAGGGCAGAATAAATTGTTCCTACAGCTTTCGTCAGTCCCAGTGCTGCTGCACACCAAATTGCAATACCGCCCAAAATGTCCTGAGCCACATCCTGCAAAATTGAATAAGCAATAATAGAATAAATATTTCAATTTCAATTTATCTATTTGGGTATGAGAAAAACATACAAGCACAAATGCCAACATGATATGATGGATTTATTTCACAAAATTGCATTGTACTTTATAATAATTATAAATTATAGCATTTTATAATTAATCAAGTTTGTCTACTTTTGATCTTAATTTTCTATAATTAGACACTTAGACCTACTGCCGCATGCTATATTGCAATACCGCCCAAAATATTGTGAGCCACATCCTGCAAAATTGAATAAGCAATAATAGAATAAATATTTCAATTTCAATGTATCTATTCGGGTACAACATGAGAAAGGCATACAAGCACAAAGGCCAACATAATATGATGGATTTATTTCAAAAAAATGCATTGTACTTTATAATAGTTATAAATCAAGTTTGTCTACTTTTAATCGTAAGTGTCTATAAATTATTATAGACACGTAAGATTAAAAACTTGATTAAATTATAAAATGTCAGATTTTCAAAACTTTCCAAACCATTTTATAATTTAATCAAGTATAATACTGAATACATATTATACACACACACACACACACCATCACACACACAAACACACGCTCCACAGAGTTGGTGGATAGTTATCAAGTTGGTAAATATTATATTAAAGTATAAGGAAGGAATTTTTCAAAGGTTTAACAGCCGATGAATGGACACGCCTATTACGAAGGCTAATATTGTGAGTGCTATTAGTTCTCCCCACAAGAAGTGCACTAGGTCATGATCGTATTTCATTTAAAGATATTAATTCTCATTTGTTGCAAGTGATTCCATTCCTAATTACAGTATTTAACAATAACATTTGCATGATTATTCATAATGTCCCTGACGAATGGAAAAGAGTGTTAATTAAGCTTATTCCTAAAGTAAATAAAGAACTCAGTTGACATAAATGAATAGAGACCGATATATCCTTACTTTTATAAAATTTTCATGAAAATCATTGAAAAACGTATTGTCACTTGCAGTGGCGGATCCAGGAATTTGAAATAGAGGGCCCATAGAGGTACTTTCACAGATGAACGGTCTATACTACCTCTCAGCCTCAATCATGGTAGGGGATGACTTCACCTTTCACCTCTAAACTGTTTATTCTGGCCCATATTCTCCCACCACTATCTCTCAATTTGTTACTGATCTGTAATAGTTTATATTGATTGTTATTTGCTATACACATTTAAGCCTATGCTGTTTAATTAGACTTTAAGTGCTGTTTTGATTCATTTCAATTGTAACCCTGAAGAGGGGAGCAAGCGCTCCCGAAAATTTGGTTTTTTAAATAAAATATATGCTTCAAAGTAGTCACCTTGTGAAGAATGTGTATATATATATATATATATATATACTGTCTCTTATACACACT